CATACAGAAAGATATACACACACACACACACACACACACACACACACACACACACACACACACACACACACACACACACACACACACACACAGATATACACACACGCACTCCCCTGAGTGAGGAGCTTGCTGTCCAGCGTAGGTGAGGGTCCAAGGAGCCCCGGATGGGGCGCTGGCTGGCACTGTTCCCACCGTGGGTTCTGGAAGCATATCCTTCTCTAGGTATGCTCTGTGTGGGGGACTTTGTGGGCTGTCACTGCCACCACGGGGGCATCCACTGGAGAGTCGGGACCGTGTCTGTTCCTGCCCCGTCCGTCCCTCGTGTCACTTGCTCTCGTGCTCCTGCCCCACTAGCGGATGTGTTTTGCTCTGCTCCTGTGGCGCTGAGCGCACATAAGCATGAGGAGACGAGCTCTTAACATGCATTTTGTGGGGCTGCAGCAGCCTTGCGCCCCGGCTCCTTTCAACCAGCAGAGGGTCAAGGCTCTTTTCTTTGTCCAGGTGGAGGATGGGCGCATGAGGGTCCCGGGGCCGTGGCCTGGTGCAGCGTGTGGACCCCGGCCCAGCCTGTACGACGTCGGCAGCATGAGCCTCCCGAGCAGCGGGCCGGCGGGCAGCATCTTTGACCTGGACTGCACCTCCGGGCAGGTCCGCTGGGCGCTGGTGGCCGCCGGCTGCACCTTCTACCTGGGCGTCTTCGTGGCCTGCCACCAGCTGTCATCTTCCCTGAACGCCACCTACCGCTCCCTGGGGGCGCGAGAGCAGGTCTTCTGGAACCTGGCGGCCACGCGCGCAGTCTTTGGCATCCAGGGCACCGCGGCGGGCCTACGGGCGCTGCTGCTGGACCCCGTGCTCCAGGCCGACAAGGTGCTCGGCCAGCAGAACTGGTGCTGGTTCCACATCACCACGGCAACCGGATTCTTCCTCTTCGAGAACCTCGCGCTCCACGTGTCCAACGCGCTGTTCCGCACGTTCGACGGGTTCCTGGCCGTCCACCACCTCTTCGCCTTCCTCGGGTTTCTCGGCTCCGTGGTCAACCTCCAAGCGGGCCACTACCTGCCCATGATCACGCTGCTCCTGGAGATGAGCACGCCCTTCACCTGCATCTCCTGGATGCTCCTAAAGGTAGGCACTCCCCAGACGGCATCTGTGCTCCACAGCGGGAGGTGAGCGGCTAGTGTGGCACCTTCACCCGCTTGATGCCCATGTTGCTGGTCCCTCGTGGCCTGTGCTGTCACAGCATCACCAGGCTGGATTAGAGTATTACAATCCGTAAGAAGCTCATTTTCGTTGAATTCCATTTTAATCATTTTAAACAACTCTTTTAGGCTTCCTGCCACATCGCAACAGAAGACTCGGTGGATCGTGTGTCTTACTCAGTAACTGGCAGTATTTGTAAGCCCTAGAAAACATGCTTTTTCTTTGTTTCAAATACTTTTTTTTTTTTTTTTGCGGTACGCGGGCCTCTCACTGCTGTGGCCTCTCCCGTTGCGGAGCACAGGCTCCGCACGCGCAGGCTCAGGAGCCATGGCTCACGGTCCCAGCCGCTCCGCAGCATGTGGGATCTTCCCGGACCAGGGCACGAACCCGCGTCCCCTGCGTCGGCAGGTGGACTCTCAACCACTGCGCCACCAGGGAAGCCCCTCAAATACTTTTTTAAAAAAAAACAAAGTAATATATGTCTACATACATATCTTTTAAAATTTTTATTTCACATTATGTTATCTTACACCCAACATGAGATCTGTCCTCTTCACAAATCTTTAAGTGTCCTGCACGTTATCGTCAGCTGTAGGCACAGATGCACAGCAGGCCTCTGGAGCTCATTCATCTTGTATGATTGAAACTTCACTCCTGTTGGTCAGTAACTCGCCGCTTCCCCTCCCTCCAGCCCCTGGCAACTGCCATCCACACTTTGATTCTAGGAACTGGACTATTTCAGATGCCTCACATAAGTGGACTCATGCCATATTTCTCTTCTGTTCCTGGTTTATTTCGCTGAGTGAATATCCTCAAGGTCCAGCCATGTCATTGCACATTGAAGGGTTTCCTTCTTTTCTCAGGCTGAACAGTTTTCCATTACGTGTGTGAAGCACATCTTCCTTGGGTGTTTCAGTCTTAGTTATTGTGAGTGAACGTAGAGGTGCTAATATCTCCTCCACATTCTGATTTCGGTTCCTTTACTGGGTCATCAGGTAGCTCTGTTTTTAGAAAATAAACCGCCCCCACTGTTTTCCGCAGCGGCTGCACCGTTGTGTCTTCCCACCAGCAGTGCACAGAGGTCCACTTTCTCCACATGCTCACCAAAGCTTATTGTCTTTGTTTCTCTGATGACATCTCACTGGCTTTTGATTTGCATTTGCCTGATGACTGGTGACAGTGAGCATTTATTCGTCTATCTGTTGGCCATTTGTATGTCGTCTTTGGAAAACTGTCCAAGCCCTTAGCCCATTTTTAACTCAGATTCTTTGTTATTTTTTACTGTTGAGTTGTAGTTCTTTATATATGTTCAAGATTAATCTCTTATTACACATATGGTTGGCAAGTATTTTCTCCCACTTTGTAGATTTTGCCTTTTCACTCTGTTGATTGTTTCCTTTGCTGTGAAGAAGCTTTTTAGTTTGATGTTGTCCCAACTGTTTATTTTTGTTTCTGTTGTATGTGTTCTTGGTATCATATTCATGAAATCATTGCCAAAACCAATGCCATGAAACTTTTTCCCTGTGTTTTCTTTTAGGAGTTTTGGGTCTTGCATTTCCGCCTTCAAGTTGATTTTTGTGTAAGGTGTGAGATAAGGGTTCAGTTTCATTCTTTTGCATGTGAGTGTCCAGTTTTCCCAGCAACACCCGATTGAAGGGACTACCCCTTTCCTGCTGTGAGTTTTGGGCACCCTGTTGAAGATCAGTTGGCCGTGTCTGTGTGGATGTTTTCTGGGCTTTCGATGCTGCTCCACTGGTCTTTGTGTTTGTCTGTATGGCAGTTCATGCAGTTTTGATTTCTGTAGCTTTGTAATATCGTTTGAAACCAGGAAACCTGGTGCCTCCAGCTTTGTTCTTTTTCTCAAGATTGATTTGGCTATTGGGGTCTTTTGTGGTTTCGTGTGAATTTTAGAAATTTTTTTTGTTAAAAATGCCACTGGGATTTTTGCGAGGGTTGCATTGAACCTGTAGACTGTAGATTACTTTGGTGACCTCCCTAGTGAGTTTTTTTTGTTTTTTGTGTTTTTTTCTTTATTTTGGGCTGTGTTGGGTTTTCGTTGCTGCACGCGGACTTTCTCTAGTTGTGGCGAGCGGGGGCTACTCTTTGTTGCGGTGCACGGGCTCCTTATTGCGGTGGCTTCTCTTGTTGCGGAGCTCTAGGTATGCAGGCTCATTAGTTGTGGCTCGCAGGCTGTAGAGCGCAGGCTCAGTAGTTGTGGTACACGGACTTCGTTGCTCCACGGCATGTGGGATCTTTCCGGGCCAGGGACCGAACCCATGTCCCCTGCATTAGCAGGTGGATTCTTAATCGCTGCACCACCAGCAAAGTCCCCCTAGTGAGTTTTTTAGTTCAGTTATTGTATTCTTCAGCTCCTTGATTTCTGTTTGGTACTTTTTTTTACATTTCTGTCTCTTCGTTGACATTCCACTTGTTCCCACGTGTTCTCTTGACCTTGGCGAGCACCCTTATGACAGATGCCTTTAATTCTGTCGGGTACATCGTGTGACTGCTCTCCAGTAGGGTTTGGAGATTTGTCTCATTCCTCGGTTTGGAGCGTCTTTGCCTGATTCTTCATTTTCCGTGACTGTCTGTTGGTGTCTGTGCATTAGACGAAGCAGATGCCTCTCCCTGGCCTCATGACTGTCCTCACCCAGGAGAGATCCCACCAGTCAGCCTAGCCAGGGTCCTGGAGATTCTCCATCGACTTTCTCCCTCCCCAGGGAAGGGCAGGCAGCTGTGGCTTCTGTCTGCTTACACGTCCGATCCTGGGTGGGGCAAGGCTGCGTGTCCACAAGCCCAGGCCACCGCCTCCGCCCCCTCTGCCAGCTGGACTGTGGGCCAGGGTCCAGGGAGCCCCCCGAACAGCTGGGGGGCTGGACACATGAACCAGCTCCTCCCTCTTCTGCGTGAAGCTGCGGGCCGAGGGTCTCTTCCTGACGCCAGGGTGCTGCCGGGGTCCCTGCCCACTTCAGCAAGTCTGTCCCGGGTGCAGGGCCCTTTCGATGGGCCCCTGATTCGTCACAACAGAGTTTGTCTGTGAACTGCTGCTCAGCCAGGCCTCCTCCTGGGGCCCCTCACGCGTCAGGCGCCCAGGCGGGGGTCTCCGGAAGCCCTTCCCCAGGTGGGGTGGGCCCACTGCTCAGGAAGAAGACAGACCCCAGCTGTGGGGCGGCCACCAGAGGGAGGCACTTTGTTTGGGGTTTTTTCTGTTTTCTCGGTGCCGTTCGTTCAGGATGGAAAAGGGTGGTCCCAGAACCCACTTCTACCCGCTCACCGTGTTCACCACGCGGCCCGGGACCCCACGGCAAAGCTGTCCCCTCGGCTAAGACAGCCCAGGGCCTGTGTGCCTACACAGCCATGGTCTTGGTCTAGTTCAGATACTACTGAACCTTGTGAGTAAACGCCGTGTAAAACGTTGAAATCCTTTTAAGCTTTTCATAAAGCTGCCAAGTTCTTGCTTAGTTGGGCATCAGGGTCCAGGAATCCTCACCATCGGGGTCTGATTTGATGAGATACAGACGGATGTCAGTACCAGGTGTCACCACTAATTTAACGTAGTTTACACCCCAAACGGGCTCATGCTTCCATTTCCTCCTCCAATTTGATTCTGAAATGTTGTTTAGAAATAATAATAAATGAATTAATACACTCAAACATCTAAACATGATTCATCCACGGAGACACTAGTCCAGATGCAAACGACCTGGTATAAAAAACAGTCAATTTATGTGTAAATAAGTATACACCAGGAACACTACCTGCTGGGGCCCCAGCTATACAAAGTAACCTTTGCACGGTTAAGACTCACTTTGTTACTGACCCTGCTTTTCTCAAAGCATTGGGTGATGTTGCACCCAAAAATTTCAGTGTCTGAGTAGGACCAAAAATGCTCACTTCTCAAGCTTGGAGTTTTCTAAACTTAATGTAATTACTGTATGAGTAGACGTTCATGCTTCTGGTATGAATATTACGAATTTAGGATGTGGCTGCTTTTAGTAAGTGGGCAAGATAATGGCAAGGAGTACCTCTTGTGAACTTTGAAGGAAGCAGCAAGTGGAAAGAAGACGGCTTGCTGGCCAGTGCCTGCAAGGTTGGAAGGGTGCGCACTGCTCCGGCCCCCAAGCACGTGTAGCTCACTCTGCAGTTTGTATGTTCACCCCGAGACACACTTAGCTCACCTTCCCACTCTACAGTTTGTACATTTAACGTCCTTCAGGCCAGAGCAAAGGCTAAGTCTTTCCCACGTGAGGAATCTATCATTGAGAACCACAAACCTCAAGTGTTTTTGCGTTTGAGAAACATTGTTTTTTTGTCTAATTGCACAGTTCAAGGAATTTTACTTGTAAAAGTCATGATTCTAGCATAACGTGGAGAATGCCTACCCATGCAATGAGTATAAAACTATTTCTGGGGCTTCCCTGGTGGCGCAGTGGTTGGGAGTCCGCCTGCCGATGCA